CGCCTGCGCATAATGACGCTCGACCATCTATGCCCATATTTGGACTTCGTGCGTCTCCCTTTCTCGGGCCTCGTGCCTCTCATTGCGAAGATATGCGACTAGCCACGGCTGGCTGAGAGCTCAACTAGCCATATAGAAGTATTACATATATGGTATTAGAACAAAATGGGTAGACGTTGTGGAGTGAGTAATTGTAAAAATTATAATCAAGAAAAATACGAATATTTCATTTTACAGGTAGGTGAAACAATATTATATTTAACATTATAAGTAAAAATTTAGTTGTACAATTACTTCAAACAGCATGTATGTCCAAAATCTGAATATAACACGTTATAAGAACATCTTTAAGACATTTTAAAACTGTTTTAAAAACATGTTAAAAATATCTTAAAAACGTATTATGTCCTGATTTTGGACATGCTTGCTATTTGGAAATCTAATTAGTTTTGTATGAATATAAAATTTATTTACTAGTATTTTTACTTTTTTAGATTACCATCTTCTGAAGAAATGCGGCAGCAATAGATAAACGCTGTTCCACCAAATTTATTGCGCACATCTGCCAAATTAATTTGTGTATGTAGTGCACATTTTACAAAAGATTCTTTTCAACCTGCTTCAATGGGACTGTCCAAAAATATCTTTAAAAAATCGGCAATACCTACTCTTTTTAAAGAAAATTATGAATGTAAAAACCCTATGAATAAGAGTGAGAATAATGAAGAGGTATCATTTATGTAACACTTTTTTATATACGATTTATATATTTTTAATCTTTTTAAATGAAACATCACAAGTTGTTGTTTTTAGACGAACATTTTGAAAAACGTTTGCTTTTCCTCGTCCACTAGTGATATAGAAAATAGTCCATCAGTGATTATAGAAAATAGTCCATCAGTGATCACAGCTATTACTACAAATGAAAACGTAAAATATATCAAGTTAAATATTTATAATTTTATTAAATTTTTTATGTTAATGTCATGGTTTTATCATTTTCTAGATGATAACTGAAAGAAAAAAAAAAGAAATTGGAATGCAAACGGAATCAATTATTACTAAAAATGTTCAAGTACAAGTATCTCCAAAACATTGTAAATTATCCAGAAGAGAAGTACAATTACAAAATGAAAATCGAATTTTGAAGAAGCGTCTTCGTCGTCGAGATGACAGAATAACATGTATGAAAAGCTTTATGCAATATNTTCGAAACAACAAGTGCGGTAATGAAAATTTGGAAAATATTTTAAAAACTAATTTTAATAATTTTTCATTTAATTTGATACAAAATGAACTTCGAAATAATAAAGTTGCATTGCATGGTAAAAGATATTCCGCATCCTTAAAACAATTTGCATTGACGGTTTTTTTTTATTCTCCTCGTGCCTACGAATTTATTAGAAGTAAATTAAGTTTACCTCATAGTAGCATTATGCGTAAATGGTTAACCAATTCAAATATACCCGGAACTCAAAGGCCTTTATTTCGGAAGTTTTCGATTATTTAAAGAATGAAACTTCTACTAAAGATTATCTACACAATGTTGCCTTAATTTTTGATTTAAAACTATTTTCAGGAAACTTAGTTTATTAAAAAAATTGATGAACCAAAAGATGTTAACAAATAAAGGTAACGATTTACATTTGTATTTATATTTAAAACGAAATTATATTAATAAACATATATTTATAAAGTAAGAATTAATCTTTATTTATTGAACATTTATTTTAAAAATCTTAATTTTTAATCCAAATAGTAATTAAATAAAGTAGTGTAAAACCTTCTTCTGATGTCTTTTAAACTTAGCAGTTACTTTCAGTTAATAATTCAACAACGTATTTATTTTATCAAATAAAAATATATATATTTATTTTATCAAATAAGCATATTTATTTTATCAAATAAAAGTTACTTGGTTTAAAACTGCGTTTCGATATTTAGCTATAGCTTTCCAATACGGGCAGTAAATATCAAAACGCAGCTTTGGGATTAGTAAAATGCATTCTGAAAGCGCGCTATCTGCGCTATTGTATCATTTTATCTTTATTAGATGTAAAATCCTTTATTAGATGTAAAATAAAGATAGAAGGATGTAATAGCGTAAATAGCGCGATCTCTAAGCGCAGCGCGCTAGTCAATGTTTGTAAGAAAGATCATATATTTTGAAGCTCCAATCAGAAATGCTCAGACAAGGATAGATATGGGGACAAACAGGGTTGGGCACGTATTATACGTGAGGTATTTTACATTGTATTATACTTGGTATTGTACAGTATAATACATCGCTTAGTTTTATACATATTATACTTCGTGTGGCGCCATCTCTACATCATGTGTATAGTAAATTTTTAAGTCCAACAT